AGCTCGCGGTGATCGCTTTGATCTGCTGGATTCGCATACCGTCTCTAAATGGGTTGTCAGATGTTGCAGATACTATTGGGTTGTTATGACGATGAAGTGTGAGCACGGTGTCGTTTCAGCCTGATCCTGCGAGACCGTGGGCGGAGCTATATTCAGCTCGGCCGTGCCTCTCTATTACGCATGTTCTTGTGTGTGGAGAGCCTCGCTGGGCGTGAAAATATTTAAATACCCAGGGTGTTTCAGCACCTAGAGTGGTTATGGGGAATGTTTCTTCCCGTATTAAGCCAGATGGGTTTAGGAGTGAGACCAATGTCTGGGTATTTTTAAGTGGGCGGTCCCTCTGAATCCCGCTTAGTGAGTTTTGGCTGAGTACACTGCTCCCCCTCTTCAGGGTTTTAAGTTCCCGTATTAAGCCAGATGGGTTTAGGAGTGAGACCAATGTCTGGGTATTTTTAAGTGGGCGGTCCCTCTGAATCCCGCTTAGTGAGTTTTGGCTGAGTACACTGCTCCCCCTCTTCAGGGTTTTAAGTGAGCAGTCCCTGCTCAGAGTGTAGCTGTCTGCGAATGGTTATGCTCCAGCTCAAGCTTACTTTGCTCTGGAATATGGTGGTCTGAGGGCAGCTATGTTCTGTCCTGGCTTGGGTTCCCCTTGGCACAAGCTCTCTCAAGCAAGCACTGAAGTCTTTGTCCTGTCTTCAGCCTTATCTGAGGGAACTGCTATTCGAGGGTAGCTGTGTCCAGCCCTCTAGTGTTTTGGCCACAGCTTACATCAGGCTTTGATCTCGGGCTGACGATGTTTATGTGCTCGCTCTTAGCGAATCATTTACTGATGGTCCAGATCTCCGTCTTGTGAGCTCCTGGTCAATCACACGGTGCTTCGCTAGCCTACTGTGGGACTGACACGGATTGGGGCCATCTGAGGGTGGTTATATTACAGCCATTGTTATGGCAGGACGGGCTTACTTGAATACAGCTATCTGAGGCTAGCTGTGTCTTGCTGGCAGTTGCGCTGAGCCCTCTCCTGGAGTGATCCCTTTTCCTAGAGCTCAGTGATTGCTCCCCTGCTTACGGTTTTAAGTAGTGGCCTCCTTGGGCTCTTGCCTAGACAGTGCTATCTCCCCTGCTAGGGTTGTAAGTAGATAGCCCACTCTCTGTGGTCTGGGTAGTCTCAGTCGATCCCCCTTATGGTAGCCCCTTCCTAGGTACTTAGCTATCTGAGGGTAGCTATGTGCTAGCTCAGTGATTGCTCCCCTGCTTAGGGTTTTAAGTAGCGGTCTCCTTGAGCCCTTGCCTAGACAGTGCTATCTCCCCTGCTAGGGTTGTAAGTAGATAGCCCACTCTCTGTGGTCTGGGCAGCTTTGCAGGAAGGTTTTGCTTGGTTATCTAGGCTAACTGTGTATAGTTATTCTGGTCTACAAGTCTTCATAAGACCTTTAGGACATAGCTTCTGAGGATAGTTGTGTTCTAGCTCTGCAGCTATTTCTCCTTACTGGGATTTAAGTAGCTATCTTTGAGCTCCTCTAGAGGCTTTCTAGTTAGTCTCTTCAGTGGTCTTGTGTATCCAGGCTTATATGGCTCACATAGCATAGCTATCTGAGGATAGTTGTGCTCTTAACTTGGGTGGGATGTTCCCCTTGATCTAATCGGGTTCCCCATTTCTGACAAATTGTGTGAGCGGCCCGTGGCGCAGTGGCATGGCCCCTTTCTGAGGAAAGGCTTGGTGTACATCTGTCGCTTCCTTGGTGCTCCCCCACCAGGTGGACAGGCATGCGCCTCGGTTCCCCAATGTGCCCCCTAGGGGGCGCAGCGAGTGTAAAACGAGAAGGGCATAACCTTACGAAAAAAGAAAACACGCAAAAATCACGGTTGCTGCGGTTCTTGCATTCCTCTGCGGTTTGCTCTTCAATAGTATTGCGGTTATCGCGACAGCCCTAGCCTAGCTATCTGAGGATAGCTATGTGATAGCTCAGTGATTGCTCCCCTGCCTAGGGTTTTAAGTAGCGGTCTCTTGAGCCCTTGCCTAGACAGCGCTATCTCCCCTGCTAGGGTTGTAAGTAGAGAGCCCACTCTCTGTGGTCTGGGTAGTCTCAGTCGGACCTCCTTATGGTAGCCCCGTCCTAGGTACTTAGCTATCTGAGGGTAGCTATGTGCTAGCTCAGTGACTGCTCCACTGCTTAGGGTTTTAAGTAGCGGTCTCTTTGAGCCCTTGCCTAGACAGTGCTATCGCCCCTGCTAGGGTTGTAAGTAGATAGCCCACTCTCTGTGGTCTGGGCAGCTTTGCAGGAAGGTTTTGCTTGGCTATCTAGGCTAGCTGTGTATGGTTATTCTGGTCTACAAGCCTTCATAAGACCTTTAGGACATAGCTATCTGAGGATAGCTGTGTTCTAGCTCAGCAGCTATTCTCCTTACCGGGATTTAAGTAGCTATCTTTGAGCTCCTCTAGAGGCTTTCTAGTTAGTCTTTCAGTGGTCTTGTGTATCCAGGCTCATGTGGCTCACATAGCATAGCTATCTGAGGATAGTTGTGCTCTTAACATGAGTGGGATGTTCCCCTTGATCTAATCAGGTTCCACATTTCTGCCAAGTTGTGTGAGCGGCCCGTGGCATGTCCCCTTTCTGAGGAAAGGCTTGGTGTATGTCTGTCGCTTCCTTGGTGCTCCCCCGCCAGGTGGCAGAGTATGTGAGCGGAGCAGAGCGAGGAGTGGAGCGGCGTGATTTTGCCTGGAGCTTGGAGCTGATTTTTTGAAAGTCGGAGCGTTGAGGTTTTCACTGGCTCCGAGAACGCTCCGCTACCGCTCCGTCACGAGCACAAATTATGCCAACTCACGCATTAAACATAATTGGTTAGCTTGACAGATATGTGGATCACATATGAAGGTTAAAATGGCGATGGACGAGTGTGGGAGGTTAAAGCTTGTTGTAAGTTGTACAGTTTGTTAATCTCCGCTCGAAACTAATGTGCTGCTACATTACTGCACATGGACAGAACACACAAGCTTGCACATAACGTACAGATCGCGCACATACATTCAGGAATGAAGAAAATTTGGTCAACGCTGTCCTTTTTTATCAGCTTAAAAACTGAAAAGTTACAGCATATTCTTTATGTTTCTGAAGTAACTACCCTCAGCTTCGCCATAGTAGAGAGACGTTGCACAGACACGTAAGCTAAGCGAATTAAGCAGTCATTTAATATGGACTTGCGCTAATTGTAGTGTTCCAATAAACCATGTTAAAACTATTCTTCTAGTATTATGCATTTATTTTTCGTTTAATATAATTTCTGAACATAACTTTGATTTTTCAAGAATAGTGAAATAATTTAGCCACGGAGCGAAGGCAAAATTCTGTGTTTCTGATCAGTGGAGCGAGGAGTGGAGCAGGAGCGGGAAATGGTGAACTCGGAGCGGAGCTGGAGGGAATGATTATTGAATGCTTGGAGCGGGGAAATTGTTGCCACTCCACTCCGCTCACATACTCTGCTCGGCACGGCATGGTTGGATTTCGTTCCCCAAAGTGCCCCCTAGAGGGTGCAGCGTGGAGTTCCCTAGAAGGGGAACGTCTTGGGTTACGCATGTAACCATGGTTCCCCGAGAGGGAACGAGACGCTGCGACCCCTCGCCATGCCTTCTGCCTGCCTGTTTACGCCTCCTTCAGATAGCTAAGTGGATGACGTATTCAGCAGGTGCCCTTTTATACTTCCGGGCACCCCACCTATGACATCATGGGCCAGGTGGACCAATAGATTGGCGTTGTTTCACATGTGCTTCAGACACCGGTCATGCAGGCTGCATTCCCCAATGTGCAGCGTCTCGTTCCCTCTCGGGAAACCATGGTTACATGCTTAACCCCAGACGTTTCTATTCAATGTTTCTATCAGTCTTATAGACATTTCCTTCTTTTCGCTGATATTCCATCATGTGTCTTTAGTTAACGATGCTGAACCTCACCAAATTCAACTGAGTGAGTTAATTTTGAATTAATCAAACACTTTTTGGCATTTAAATTGCATCAAAAGGATTTATATTTTGTATAGAGAAACACTGACTGTGTAATTGAGGATTGTTATAAATGAACAGGTCTGCAGAATGAAGTGTCTCAGTGTTTTTAACAGGAGGATGGTTTGTTTGTTTGTTGTGTAGGTGCTGTCAGAAGAGCAGCTCACAAACATCTCACCAGAATGCCATAGTGCAGCGTTTACTACAGACGAATACAGTCTTTCCACAAATATAAATAAAGTGCTAAATAATAATGAAGCCAATTTCAGTTATGTAGTGGCTAACCATTTTAACTTTTTTATTTTTTTGTTTTTTCGCCACCCCAAACACACACACCATAATTACAGGATGTTTTTTGTGTGTCTCTTTCGCTTTAATGCCAGCATTTAAAAAAAAATATTTATTTATTTACTTTATTTATTTATGAATTCTGATCAATTAATTTCCTATAAATAACAGTACGTTTAATAGTTTTGGATTTGTTTCCCTTTTGTTTTAAGAAAAACGTTTTCCCCTAAAAATCTATTTTTATTTTCAGAATCCTGAAAGCCATATAAGTCTATATAATTTATATTATGATTATTATTTTATACATTATATTTATTTTTCCTAAAAATTGTTTCGTGTCTCTCTTTTGCTTTAGTTTATTTTTATTTATTAATTTAAGAATTCTGAAAAACTTGAGTATCATTTCCATAAAGAAAGCTCCAGATTTGCAGCCCAGGACTCCATTGACTGCATAACTTTTATCAGAGACTGCATAACTTTTATCATTTTCAAGTAGCTAAATGTTGATCATTTATCAAACACAGTCAAACTCTCTCCAATGATCATGGAGGTTTGCCTGCATTGCTTTAACAAAACTAACGAGACAGCTGTTTGTCCGGCTAGGAAAGAGTTAAGCGCGAGTCTCCCTGACTGTGCATGCGCGCATGAACTCCCACAATTTGATAAATGTCCCTCCGCGGCTCTTCGGTCCGTTTCCAGTCTCTCGAGAAAGCTATGCCTTTTACGCACCTCAGACTCCCACATCCACTGGCAGAGGAACATCTGTGCTGGGAGCCCACATCAGTGACCGTCCAGCTCTAAAATGCATCTCAAGATGCCAAACTTGATTTTGGTTTTCTATTTACTTCAAGGACTGAATAAATTCATCAGCGCGCAAAACTCCGCGCCCTGGAGGAACCGGATCCAGTGGGTCAATAACGGCCAGGTGTTCAGTTTAATGAGCACCGGCTCGGAGTATCACGCACCGGTGGCGTCCAGAAGACAGTCCAGGGTGTTTCTGAGTAGCAATAGAGATGCTGTCCGGGACAGGACCTTGCAAATTCGAGTGGAAGCGTCCGATTCTGCGGCCACAAGTAGCGGCAACACCGCGCTTTTGGGTCCGGATCGCATGCAGTACATCGCGGCCAACAGCCGCGCACCTGGCGCCAGACAAATGCAGGTGCGTCAGCGGCTCAGAGCAGCTCCAGGATCCAGATCCAACGCCACCGAATACTCCGGCGGCGGAAGAGCCCCGGCTCAAGGGGAAATTACCGCACGGAGGGCGCCAGCGGTTGCCAATCTCCAACACCTGGAAGCGCCAACTGAGACCTCAAACACTTTAACTAATGGAAACTATAATGAAGCGGGGCTCTCCAGAGCGCAAACTCCAAATGCAGAGCAGGGAACCACGTCTGAAAGCATGGCAGGAGATGATCCGCGAAACAGGAATACGGTTTTCTATAACATCTATCCGCCCGGCGGCAGAACGGTCATCCCGCGCCGCGCGCCGCCTGGCACCGGTTACGGCACAAGATACTTCCAGAACGGTGAGCTGCGCGCAAAGGACGAGTTTAGCCTCAACATATGGGGGAATGTGTGGGATTTGTTTCAAACAGACGTGTTTTAGTGTATGCATATGTTGTGCTCGTCTGCAGGTCTGCCGGATCTTGTGCCAGATCCATATTCAATCCAGGCGGGCTCTTACATCCAGCGCGTCCAGATGTACGCGCTCCGGTGCGCGGCGGAGGAGAACTGCCTGGCGCGGTGCGTTATGAATTATGATCTGTGTCCAGTTACAGTCAGCGACCGTAACAAATATTTAGACACTTAAGTCACACTTAACCCTCGTGTTGTGCTGAAAATATTTGACTTAATTTGGTGTTCCCGGTCATAAATGGCATAAACTACAGATTTTTTCTCCCCAAACCTATATTTTCTTTTTTCAGAATCCTGAAAAACTTGAGACAATATCCCGTAAATATTTAACAGTATTTGTTTTGTGTCTGTCTTTTGCACTAATGTTTTTTTTTCAAAACCTTTATTTATTCATTCATTTTAGAATCCTAAAAAACTTATAGGTCTAGGCTATATCATTATAGAACATTTTATAGTATTTTATGTGTCTCTCTTTTACTTTAATGACATTTTTTCAAAATATGTCTATTTCTTTCTTTCTTTCTTTTCTTCAAAAAATCTGAAATTTTGTTTATGAAACAGACCCCAGGACCCCATAGGGATTTTTGGTGTATTTCAAACTAGACGCATTTTATACTGTAAATGTTGTTGATGATTTATTAAACATATTCTAACTCTCTGAAGAACATGGACTTTTTCCTGTATTGCTTTAACAAAACGAATGTGACATCAGTTTGTTCAGTAATGAAAAGAGTTAAGAGGAAATATTCCAGAGTAAATCCTGAATGGATTTACTATTTTATTATGCCATATTATCTGAACTTATACATCAGTTTTTGAGTGAAAAAAGCATTATTTGTGGATCATTTTGGCAATGTTCATTCAAAAACTGAGGTGCATATAACCAATCAGTTGCAAAAAGAAAAGAAAACAAGTTAATAAAAAGATTAAATCCGATATTTGGTAATAATATATCATATAATGAGACATAATTGTAAGCCTTTTTTCATAGATCGGCCATTTTTGACCAGGAACACCACAAGTGTATAAGACATTGGGAATAAAATCCCCAAAAAGTACAAAAATGATGATTTTTGGAGGGAAAGTTGTGAGCAAAGTCAGTAAGTTTTAGTCCAATGCAATAGCATTAAATAGCATTTCGGGAAAAAGAAAATCCTCTCCGGATCAAAATGACCAGAACACAACGTGAGGGTTAAAAATGTCTGAATGTCATCGCATTAGATACAAATTATTAAAGAAAATGTCATTAATTGTACAAACACTTTTCAAGCAAAACATTTGACACTAAGTCTCTAACACATAATGCATTAAAGAGCTATTTTAATGCATTAATTGTGCACCTTATAATGCAATGTGATATCATGCGTAATTGTTAACAGTTATGATACATTTAGACCTGTGGTTTCTTCTACTATGACCCTTGTGTGAACTTGACTTCATACATCCACTAAAAACCACCAAAACACCAGCTGACTCAAACACACTGAGACTTCAGACACACTGAGAGATTTCGTTATATAATGCAATCATATTCAAAGATTTGAAAGTGTCTGAGGACTTTTCCTTGAGTTTGCAATGCCTTACCATGTTGAAGCAGGCGTGCTGTACCCTAAAAATGAAATTTTGCATGCTTTGAATATTGGTGAGAGCTTTTAGATGGTCTGTTTGACTTATTTTTGCGGTGCAGTCATCAGTATGGCTGGATGCATGACCTCTCGTCACCCAGTGATCCATGAGCTCATCCTCCACCGTCTTTCATCTTTCAGATCTGCATACAGACCCACAGTCACAGACATCGACTACAGGGTTCTGCTGCGCTTCCCACAGAAGGTCAGAAACATGGGAACGACTGACTTTCTGCCCGTCAAACCCAGACATCAGTGGGAGTGGCACAGCTGTCATCAGTGAGTCTGATTAATCACATAATAATCAATCGAAATAAAATCAGATGATTTGCAAAAAAAAAAAAAAGAATAATATTACCTCATTTGATTATGCTGAATTAAAAATATCAATAATACTTTCAATGACAGTTTTTTTTTTTTTTTTTTTTTACAAAATGTATGTATCAGCTTTAATGCACTTATCAAAATAACAAAAGCACTCAAAAGTTCCAAAAAAAAAGTTTTCATAATGTATCATTTAACATTCAATCTGCAAAAATATGTTCAAATACTTACTACATCAACACAGATGCAGCAAAAAAAACAAACATCAGGCTCATGTTTGCATTTTCTTCTGTCTCTGGCCATAATTCTGACCTTGACATCAGGATTAGGCGTCAAATAGTATCATACATGTGAAAATGGGCTGGGAATCAAACAGATAGCTGTGATCTGGCTCAGATTCAGTCAGGAATCATGTGCTCGTGGTGTTTTTCTGCTGATTAATAGAGAATACAAGACGTCTTCACCGCAAAAATGCTACAAAATGCGCATATTTTGTCTTAAAGTGTGACGTTCTCCAGCAAAACATAATGTTTTTAAAATCGGCAGCCCAAAATTACTAGTAAGAAACAAGTATTGGATTTCATGCAGCAAATATGATGCAGGGTGATGAGATTATTATTATTAGAAATTATGATAAAATTATAAATAATAAAAACCCTACTGTATTGCAATCACTGCAATGCATGCTTCTTGCTTATTATAAAATGACAGCAACAGCAATATTATAAAATACATTATTGTTCAATAAAAAAAATTACATTTATTAGTATTAAAAATCAGAGTGAATCAGAATTTCGAATGGGATCTGTGTTTTATAAATCCTATGTGAGTGATGCATTTCAGTGGGTTGCTATGCGGTTGCAAAGGTGTTTGTTCAAATCATTATAGCGGTGTTAATCATAACACATGAGAAGTGCATGATCTGTGTGGTATCTGACAGGCACTATCACAGCATGGATGCGTTCAGTCACTATGATCTGCTGGACATCAACACCGGACTGAAGGTCGCAGAGGGTCACAAGGCCAGTTTCTGTCTGGAAGATACGGGCTGTGATCCTGGATTTCACCGCCGATACGCCTGCACCGCACACACACAGGTACAAACACACACACACACACATCACAGTCTCCCACAGCGAACAGCAGGGTTATTAGTTCACTAAAATTAAAACCATTAAAAACCATTGTCGTTGCTTGAAGTAAACTTTAACTGAAATGAAATCAAATTTAAAAAATTTAAAAAAAATTATTATTTTGCCAGTTTGACTTGATGTACTAAAGCTAAAATAAGAAATAAAAATATATAAATAATAAATAAAAATGACAAAAACACAAAAATGACTTTAATTAAAATAAAGACAAAATAATCAAAATATTAATAAAAATGATAAAAATAATCGAATTTTAGTAGTATTTATATACTATTAAAGCTTTTATTTATATTTTGAATGAGCTTTTATTTTTAATTCCCAGTTTTAATTTTAGTTTAACTTTTGGTAATTTCGTTATGTGCTTTTGCCATTTTTATTAGTTTTTTATATTACTATTAAGGTTTAATTTTTTTTTTTTTTTTTTCAGTTTTAGTTTTTACTTATTTAATTAAAGTTTTTCATCTCATATTTATATTTTATCTTATTTTGTAATTTATTTGACTTGATTTCCACTTTATTTCAATTAACAAAAAATAAATAGTAACACTTTTAGTTTTAGTGATAACAGCCCTGGATGAAAGTCGCTGGGGTATATTTGTAGCAATAGCCAACAATACATTGTATGGGTCAAAATTATCCATTTCTCTATTATGCCAAAAATCATTAGGATATTAAGTAAAGATCATGTTCCATGAAGATATTTTGTACATTTCCTACTGTAAATATATCAAAACTTAATTTTTGATTAATAATATGCATTGCTAAGAACTTCATCTGAACAACTTTAAAGATGATTTTCTCAATATTTAGATTTTTCTGCACCCTCAGATTCCAGATTTTCAAATAGTTGCATCTCGGCCAAATATTGTCCTATCCTAACAAATCTCAATTTCAATAAATTGACCCTTATGACTGGTTTTGTGGTCCAGGGTCACATATTATTGCTTATTATTGAATTATTATTCCTGTATTCTTGCATACAGCAATTATTACGGTTAGTTGCAAATGCACCATTTCCAATTTTCATTTAGTTTACGTTTTTGTTCTCATATTTATATTTTATTTTAAATTCAGCATTATTTCAATTAACAAAAAATAAACAATTTCAGTTTAGACAATAATTACCCTGGTTGACATGAATTTGTGCTTGTTGTATTTAGTGTTTTGATTAATAGAAATATTATAGTAATACATTTCTGATTCCTAATTCTCATTCAAGTTTTTCTACTCCTGTTTTATTTTATTTTTAGCTCAATTTCAATTAACAAGTTCTAACTAATGTGTGCTGCTCATATTCGTTGTGTGTGGTTTGCTAGAGTTATTATTGCTGTGTTTTCAGGGCTTGAGTCCAGGCTGCCACGACACATACGCCGCCAACATCGACTGCCAGTGGATCGACATCACAGACGTCCCTCCTGGAAACTACATCCTCGAGGTGTGAGAAATAAAGCTGATGTAGAGACATTTTCCGAACCGGATCCTGTTGTTGATGTGCATTTCCCTTCCTGCCCAGGTCACAGTCAATCCAGACTTCCTGGTGCCCGAGTCTGACTTCTCCAACAACGTTGTGCGATGTGAGGTCATTTACACCGGCGTTTACATCCAAACCAGAAACTGCATCTTAACTGGGTGAGGAAATGCATTTTTATTACAGTTTTTTTTTCAACTGCTTACACACATTTTCATAACTTTGCCTCTTTTCTTTACACATAAATCCAAGAATTGCACACACAAAATGCAAAATGCCTCACATCTCTTGCAAAATGAAGCAAATATCACAAACACATCTCAAAAGCAAACATTTGCAAACACCTTTGCCATAATATTAATTCCTGTATTTGTGTGTGTTACATAGAGAATTGTGTGTTGTGTTTTGCAAAAAGTGTTTTATGAAATTGAAAACTGAGTCAAAAGCCCAGAATTAGCGTATGGTTTTGCAGATTTGGTGTGTGCTTCTGGCGTTAAGTGTCAGCGTTCAGAAATTGTGTGACAAGTAAAGATTTTGTGTGTAAAACTGTAACTTCATCACATTAATATTTCACGAATCAGAGCAATAATTGACTACATGTATTTCTTTCTCTCTGTTTCCACAGGATGTAAAGCCCTCGGGTTGGAGTTGAATTTTAAAGGCCTATATAATAGGTTTAATTATAGTAATTTAATTTAAAGCTTTTTTTAGTAACTTGAAACACTCCATATAGCTGTTGGAGTAATATTTATGACAAATGTACTGTATCTATTTTCGATGAGTTTGATTTCTTGCCCTAGAGCGAGCAATTTTAAGTGTTTTTGTGATGTTTGCATTATAATAAAATGTAATTTTGCTTTTATGTTAAATGAAGAACTATAAATTAATAGATTAGTATGTTAGAGTTTGTATTTATTGCATTGGTTATGAAAAATATAAGCATTTTCTTTTAAACTAAGATCATTGAGGGACATATTGTGTAATTTTGGCTTTTTATTAGATAGCGGTTGAGTGCTTTACTCTACTGCAGATCACTAGTGTAAAATATACACTATTAAAGGGTTTGGTTTTCCATGCAGGTTTCAGTCTTAAACATCTTGAGAAGTTTGCTGCGAGCTTCCCTCGTCTTTGCCATGATTATAAAACTCTTTCCATGAATGCTGGACTTGGATGAACGAGGTCGTTTGTGGTTTGAATTGCAATAAACAGAAATGCAGAGAATGTAATAGAGAAAATGGATTGTGGTTCTTTTCGGAACTCTGTCTTCGTTAAATCACTGGTTCATTCAATACAAAAAAAGTTCTAATGAGCTCTCAGTTGAGATGTTTAAATGGGACGAAAGCTTCCCGAGCACTGAGATTAAATCCAGCCAAAGACATCAGAGTCTGAGACCTTTTACTGCCTCCTTCAGTATTTACTGTACAGGAGAGGAAACGCTGAAATGGGTCGAGCCCGAGTTTTTTTAATTTTGGCTTTTTATTAGATAGCGGTTGAGTGCTTTACTCTACTGCAGATCACTAGTGTAAAATATACACTATTAAAGGGTTTGGTTTTCCATGCAGGTTTCAGTCTTAAACATCTTGAGAAGTTTGCTGCGAGCTTCCCTCGTCTTTGCCATGATTATAAAACTCTTTCCATGAATGCTGGACTTGGATGAACGAGGTCGTTTGTGGTTTGAATTGCAATAAACAGAAATGCAGAGAATGTAATAGAGAAAATGGATTGTGGTTCTTTTCGGAACTCTGTCTTCGTTAAATCACTGGTTCATTCAATACAAAAAAAGTTCTAATGAGCTCTCAGTTGAGATGTTTAAATGGGACGAAAGCTTCCCGAGCACCGAGATTAAATCCAGCCAAAGATATCAGAGTCCGAGACCTTTTACTGCCTCCTTCAGTATTTACTGTACAGGAGAGGAAACGTTGAAATGGGTCGAGCCCGAGTTTTTTTGGGAAAGTCTTCATGCTCGAGATGTGTGCTGGGAGATTTTTCACTCTTATTGTGACTTCGGAACAAATGGAGTTTATATTTAATATTTCCTAACGAGCAAAAAGCTTTTTGGTTTTACAAACTCTGAGATGGAAACTGAATATTGTTGAGCTGCAGACGTAAATAGGATGAAATGTCCCTTTTCTGAGTATTTACATGCACTTCACCTAATATTTAACTTCCTCTGAAGACAAACAGTCTGTGCATGAAGGAAATCCCAGAATGCATTGAGATGCAGTGTTATTTTAGTATTATTTATATGCTATTCTAGATTTTATTCATATTTTGAATTAGCTTATTCTTATACTTTGTTTTAATTTTAATTTTAGTTAAACTAATTTTAATTTAAAAATAAACTATATTTGATTTTAACTAAACAATATTTAATTTTACTTCAGCTAATATTTATTTATAATTTAGTCATTTTTGCTTTTTTTGCTTTTTATAGTTTTTGTTTTGTATTTCTTTACATTTAATTTATTTTTATTTTCAGCTTTAGTGTTAGTTTTTAATTATTTTATTTCCAGTTTTCGTGCTTGACTAATTGAAATAAGTTTTTCATCTAATTTTTATATTTTATTTCAGCTTTATTTCAATAAAAAAAAATGTTTAAATAGTTTTGGTTTTAGTCCTAGTTTTAGTTAACAATAATAACCCTGTTGGAATTAACTTATTATTGTGCAACATGATGAACAAAGTGAGAGAGACATTAATTATAAATAAATTTCTTTCAATACTAAAAACTGTTTTTAGTTTTAGTTCTGATGGGGACCTTTTTTAATGGAAAACAAATAACCCTGATTTAAAGCAATAGTTCTCGGGGGAAAAAAGAAAATTTCTTGAAATTTACTCACCCTCATCCAAGATGAGTTTGTTTCTTCATCAGATTTGTAGAAAAGTAGCATTGCATCAGTGTCTCAGCAATGGATGCTCTGCAGTGAATGGGTGCCGTCAGAATGAGAGTCCAAACAGCTGATAAAAACATCACAATAATCCACAAGTAACCCACAGCACTCCAGTCCATCAGTTAACATCTGGAGAACTTATTAAGACGTTTTAACTTTAAACTCTTGCTTCTGGCTAAAATACAAGTCCATAATCCACAATAACGCTTCCTCCAGTGAAAAAGTGGTCTGGTCTGAATCAGGAGAGAAATCTGCACAGATCAAGCACCGTTTACAAGCCAAAACAGCTCTAAACAAATATGTGGCTGGATTTTGATGTGAGAGACTACGGGAGATGGACTTTTTCACTGGAGGAGGAAGCGTTATTTTTCTATTGTTATACTCATATTTTAGCTGGAAGCAACAGTTTGAAGTTAAAAATGTCTTGATGGATTTGTTTCTTACAAACACACATCTTTTGACTTCTCCAGACGTTAACTGATGGACTGGAGTGGTGTGGATTACTTGTGGATTATTGTGGTGTTTTTATCAGCTGTTTGGACTCTCATTCTGACGGCACCCATTCACTGCAGAGCATCCATTGCTGAGACACTGATGCAATGCTACATTTCTCCAAATCTGATGAAGAAACAAACTCATCCTAATCTTGGATGACCTGAGGATGAGTACATTATCGGCAAATTTTCAGCGAATCAGCAAATTAAATTTTCATTTAAACTTTCATATATGTGTGTGTGTGTGTATACTATATATAGTCTCTCTATAGTCTGCTGTTGAAGCCGGTGTGATTTCATCAGTCTGCAGACGGTTTGCAGGAGGGTCTCGGTCTGTTTACTGACACAGAGCCGTGAAGACTGAGATGTTATTAAACGCTCCAGCCATGTGTCTACTAGCACTGAATGAATGAACGAATCTCTCTTCTGTCCACCACCGGCCCTCTCACAGATTTAGATGAAGTTTTTCTTAGTCATTGTAAACAGGATATAGGAAGTAAAACATGGACATGCTACAATTTCTATTCCACACCTTTCTTTGCCGTCACCGCATAGTCTGTTCATGACAGCAAACATTTGAACAACAGCTCACTCATAGAGAGGTTTAACATTTGGAAAAATGTATATGTCTATTAAAAAATACTAAAATGTAAAAGTTTGAGGTCTGTAAGATTGTTAAGTTTTTTTTTTTTTAAAGAAGACTCACCAATGCTGTGTTTATTTATCCAAAAACAGTAACATTGTGACATATTAATACAATTTAAAGTAACTGTTTTCTATGTGAATATCTGTTAAACTGTAATTTATTTCTGTGATGCGCAGCTGAATTTTCAGCATCATTACTCCAGTCTTCAGTGTCACGTGATCCTTCAGAAATCATTCTAATATGCTGATACTCTGCTCAAGAAAAATTTCTGATTATTATCAATGTTGAAAATGTTTCTCCCAGACAATAATTACTGAAATCAGTGTGTCTGAATCCTGTATTTCATCTTATTTTCATTGAATCAGTGTTTTACATGATAAAAATCCTTCAGAGGATGTTACAGACTGAAAGGCCCTGGAATGAGAGACACCCTTGAGCCAATGAGGTTAAGTGTAATGAGAATGAACACAGATGAAGCGTTTGCTCTGGCGTTTGTGTGGAGCTGAAGTTCTGCCAGAACAGATTCTCTGTGTTTTTGAATGTGTCTGGAAAAAGCCCATTTCCTCTGCTGCTCTCGCTCGTTCTGCTCCGCTCTAATATTGACTCACAGCCACGGTCAGGAATGGCGGATGGACTCATTCTCTGTGTTTCTGTGACGTTTATAGGACATAAAATGGGAACATGCTCAACATGTTATTGACTGTCTCGCTCGGGTCAATAGATGAGCGTTTGTTGTTGAACAGAGAGCTGTTGAAGACGCTCATTTACAGCGAGCTATTTTTATTGCCAATTATTGAGAAATGCAACAGGTTACAAATTTGGTGTAGAAATATTTTTCACTCATAAATTGCTAGTAAATTTCACAAACAATTACTGAGAAATGGCAAATAACACATTGAATGAAATGTGAATTTTTTTAAGTAGAAAGACTGAAGTAGTATTTTCTTGTAAAACAAGAAAAAAATCTTTTATTTACAACTTTTAATTATTTTGAATATTAACAATATTTAGCAATTTAAATATTTTCTCAGTCTCATTTTCTCATTTCACTAGATTAATAATTTTCATAAAAGTAATAGAAATATATAGGCTTCATTTTCTATAAATGCACAATTAGTTTTCTAAATGCTAAAT